TAACTGACTCCTCAATTATACGTGATCTGGTATGCACGATGGGAGCCATGCGCCAACTGACAGAGCTTCCTTTAGGATGAGGTACTGACAAAACGTTAATTCGGTTGATGATGGCGAACTGAGCAGCATAGCAGGTCCTACGAGCAGCAGTCATCAAGCGCTTGGTGGTCCCTAACGTAACAAAATTACTCTTGGAAGGTAATTCGATATACACTTGAATATTAGTTACCTCCTATACCAAGGCCTTTGGACATGGTGTTTAGCTGGGCTTTTCTAAAATCCTTCAAGTGTAACTGAACGACATCTGCGTGGCTGCAATTTGTTCCAACTCATCAAATAGACCCTCTGTCAATCGTAGTCCCAGCATTCCAGAAAAGCTTTCGCTACCATTTCCGAAGAACAGTTAGGTATGGAAACGGCTTGCGGACAGCTAGTGAATGGGTCGACACAGGTCCGTAGGTAAACGGTGCCATTCGAAGGCAGCAGAGGACATACGAGGTGGACAGGCACATGGTGAAAATGTGCACCTGGTGTGGGAAATGTTCCTACTGGGCTTTTCATCTGCTTATACACTTTCGCACGTTGACAAGGAAGGCAAGCAGCTGCCCAAGTACGGACGTCCTGATTGACATCGCAACAAACGCATCGTGCGGTTACGAGTTTAACCGATGTAGAACACCTGGATGAGACAAGCAGTGCACTATGTCGAACACGGTTTGTCGAACCTCAAGTGAGACGAGTGGGAGCTACGTGCCCAGAGAGAAATCGCAAGTATAGTTCCGTCTGACGATGGCAGCTGAACGGGTCATATGTCCAATGAGGGAGACTTGCGTAATATAACAACCTCAGGATCAAGGAGTTGCGCTGCTACCATGGCTGTCAAGTTGATGGCGGTACCGGCGTCTGCAGAGATCGCTTGAGTTCGAGAAAGTGGATCCGCGACAGGGTTGTGCACACCTGAGACGTGTCGTATGTCGGGCGTAAACTGAGCGATATAGTCTAGGTGACGCGACTTATTAGGAGAGTATCGGTCGGGATTCGAGCCGAGTAAGTAACTCAGGGGTTTGTGGTCGATGAAGACGGCAAAGGAACGGCCTTCTAAAACATGTCGAAAATGACATATGGATAAATAAATTTCTATTAATTCTCTACCAAAAGTACTGTAATGAGATTCGGCATGTCGCAAACTTCTGGAGAAAAATGACAATGGCTGCCAGGCGTCAACTACCTTTGGTTTTAAGACCTCCCCGACTGCCACATCTGAAGCGTCGGTACTGAGCAACAATGGGGCTGCCGGGTCATGATGCGCTATAAAAGCTATGTTGACGATGGCTTCTTTCAATATCTGGGAGGCAGCGCGCGCTAAAGCAGGAAAATCCAACTCCTTACTTTTCCCACGGAGAGGGTCCGTGAGGGGTTGCATAAGCGAAACGCAACTATGATATGAAATGGCGATAAAAGTTAACGAGGCAATCAAAGCCTCTTAGCTGTTTAAAAGTGTAAGGCTCAGGGCACTCGATGGGGACCTTAATTGTATCCTGTAGTGGCACGACGCCTACAGGAGAGATATGCTGTCCGAGAAAACTGACAGAATCGACAACAAGCGAACACTTTTCTGCGGTGTTCGTCACCCCTTGTTTAGATACACGATCGAATAGCGTTTGAAGTTGGCGTAAGTGCACTCCGCGTGAGGAGCTCACGATTAAGATGTCGTCGAAGTAGGCATAAACGAAATCTAGGCCGCAACAAATTTGGTCGATAAAGGGCTGAAAAGTTTGCACGGATTCTTTAGACCAAGTAGCATACACAGAAACTCAGACAAACCTAATAAATAAAAAATCAATATATGGTTTATTATCTTTAAAATGAAGGCGTCACAGCAGTTTTAGCGATTTCCGCTTTCGCTATCGGAATTTGGTTGTAAGCGCGCACCAAGTCGATTTTACTGAAAGCCTTTTTACCTGCAAGACGCGGTGAGATCTACGATATTTGGGATAGGATAGCGATCAGATTTGGTTACGTTGTTTAGAGATGTATGTTCACCACAAGGACGTCAGTCCCCCATAGTCTTTTTCAGAATCATTTGAGAGATGACGCCCACAAGCAGTTGGATGGTCTTATAATACCGATCTGTATTATGTGGTCGAATTCAGCTTTTGCGGCACTAATTCGTCTGAGCCGAGGCGTCTTGGTCTGGCACTCGTTGGTGGACAACGCGTGCTAATGTGATGAGCGAACACTATCGGGACTGGCGGAAGCTCTGCAGCTAATCGCATCACTCGCGTTGATTCAGTTTGTAAGATTCGCCTAATTTGAAGGGACCTCGGCGATTCGGAAAACGAAACAGAGTATCAGGACGTCCGTAAGAGCGCCTTTAACCACTAGTCTAGTACGGTCGTCTAAAAGTCTGTGGTGACCAGCGTCAGCAAGTAACCCAAAATGTCAAAGGAAGTCAATACCGATAATCGCGAAGTGTACAGACGCTAACTTAAAAGCCAACTAAACAGCTGGGCGAAGGTTGCAGTCCAGGTTCATCATGCGATGACCGAAGGAAGCAACCATAGAACCGCTGGCTGCACATAAATTGTACGTAGGCTCTGAGTGCATGTCATTTGCGTTCGCAGGGATGGCGCTGAATTCCGCTCCCGGGTCGAGGAGGAAGATGGTTTAAGAACGTCCATCCTTAAGGTAAAACAGGCGATTTGCTTGATTATTAATGGAGACGTTGATCGTGTTAGTATGCGGACTATTCACTTTACCTGAAGCGACTGAGTCGTGACTAATGCAGGGAGCCCAAAAAACGTCTAGTTCCTTCACCATGTTGACGGTGATACCAACATAATTCCGCAACGGATCTGATGTTACCTGACTGAGAACGTACAGGGAAAATGCTGCGCTTTCGTGTCGAACGTGACCTACCCAGTGCAGGCACAGACGAGCCGCAATGTAAAGTAGCCAAAACGTAAGCAGCATCTTGCCGTGGCATACGCTGCTTCGAAACCCTCATTGCTGCTAGCCTGCTGCGAAGTAGCGTAATTTTCTCCTTTTTAGGGTCAGAGCAACCTGACGACTTGGAGCAAAGATGAAACCCGGTTTTAATCGGTGAGAATACGTCACCGGGATTGCTGGTCTTCTGCTACGGGAGACGTTCTAACCCAGTGTCTACCTCGGTTGCTAGTTAATTCAAATGCGTATCCAGAATCATGGAGATTAGTACCGGCAGTGGCTCTGGGAGATGTGCAAACCACAGTTCTTTATCCTTTCTTCGCTTTAGAATAAGAGACAAGCGATGCGCTGAATTTCGCAGAGCCACGGCGACGTCTTGTTATCTCCCAGCTTGAGTCCATTGAGCTGTTCAATTCGAGATCCTGTGCTGTTTTGTAACTTTTTTTAAAATCGCTGGTGTGCTCGTTTCGTACTTTGCCTCACAACCGAGAGAGGACGGCGTGAGACGAGCTGATTGTACTTTCAACGGTCCGTCATAATGCCTTTATTTTCCAAGTCAATCCCGAATATCGCAAGCCAAACCTCTTGGCTGTGTTTTATGGAAGTTGGAGCAGCCAAAACAAGCATGCTTATGATGTGAAAAGACCTACATGTCACTTTCAAAATGTATATGGAAAAGATCAAAGATGAAGAAAAGCACACTGAAACTACAAACTCACGCAAGAGACAAATGAATACACGTATAAAATAGAGAAAAAGGAACGAACACACCGTTACAAACGGAGAAAATGTTCAACTTCGCGCGTGCGGATCGGGGTCACCAATTTGTAGGACTAGTAAATACTAGTCCGAGATGGTTCACGAAAGTAAGCGCGGATATCCGAAGGCAATTGGTGTCGAACACAACGGAATGTCTTTAGTGGGTTACAAGGAGACGCAGACGGATAAAGCCAGACAACAGCAAAGCGTTAGTGCGGGAACTTACAAGACAACAAAATGTCGAGCCGTTCGTAGCTGCTAACCTGGACGTAATTTAAGGGAGATTAAAACGAGAAGGAATTGTATACCATTGGACATCAGCGAAATTGTACACGAAAGATACTAGGTATCGTTTGGGGCGCTACAAATACAGCTATAATGTCAGGAACATTCGCAAAGGTATTAGGAATAAATGTCTTGGATAAATGCGCTAGCATCGTGCTGGCGGGCACTCTGGCTTTAGTCGTTGTTCTGTCGAAAAGGCGCAATTCCCCACTGAGATTTTCCAGTAAAGTTCACTCGCTCCTTGGTCAAATCAGTGACCTCAGGGCCATTCTGCAGTGAAATGAGTGGGTGAATACAAGAATCCTTCCGGTACAAGAAAGTTGGTTGACTACTGATGTGGAAAATGGGGTACTTCAAATCGATGGTTATTTTCCCATCAGGTCTGATCGACCCGGGAAGCACTTATTTTGTGGTTCGGGTGTTATACCTTCCATTATTCAAGGTGGTTACAACGCAGCAATCATAATATTTACGTATTTCTTTAAGCTGCCATTCAGTTGAATGTAAACCGATGTTAATAAGCGGCTTTTGTAGCGCCCAAAAAGATAACTCTTATCTTTCATGTACAATTTACTTGTTGACCGATTGTACATTATTCCTTCTTGTTTTAATCGTCCTTACAATCGGCTCGACACACAACTGCCTTGTAAGTTCCCGCGCTCACGTGTACGCTCTCGCCTCGCTTCATCCGTCCGCTTCTTATTGTAGCCCATCGAATACAGTCCGCTGTGTCCGACTCCAATTGCCTTCTGATATTTGCGCTTAATTTCGCGCACCGTCTCGGACTAGTATTAACTAGTCCTACAAATTGGTGACCCCGATTCGCACGCGCGAATTCAACGTTTTTTTTCTCGTTTGTATTTTTTGGTGAGTTCGTTCCTTTTTCTCGATTATATACCTGTATTCATTTGTTTCTTGCGTAATTTTGGTACTTTTATCGTATTTTGTTCATCCTTTATCTTTCGACTCGCATTTCGAGAGTGGCATCTGAGTCGTTTCACAGCGTAAACATGCTTACTTTGGCTGTTCCAAGTTTCATGGAACACAGCCCAGAAGTTTGGTTTAAGATATTCGAGATCGAACTAGAAAATAAGGGCATTACGGCGGACCGTCCGAGGTACAATCAGCTCGTCCCACGCCTTCCTCCGTCGGTTGTGACGCTGATTGAGGACATTCTACTCTGCCCATCGAATGAGGCAAAGTATGAAACGATGAAGCAAGCGATTTTAAAAGAGTTACGGCCCAGCGCACGAACTCGATTTGAACAGCTCAATGGTCTCAAGCTTGGAGATCGCAAGCCGTCGGCGTTGCTCCGCGAACTTCAGCGCATCGCTGGTCCCTTATTCTTGAGCGAAGAAGGGATAGATGCACTGTGGTTTGCACGTCTCCCAGAGCCATTGCCGGTAATGCTGTCCATGTTTATAGATGCACCCCTGAAAGAATTAGCTACCAAGGCAGACGCTGCGTTCGAACGTCTTTCGCAGCAGACGACCAGTAGCTCCGGTGACGTATTCTCACCGATGAAAACCGCATCTCATGTTTGTTTCCAGTCGCTAGACCGATCTGACTCTAAAGACGAGGAAATTGCGCTACTTCGCAGCAGGATAGCAGCAATGAAGGCTTCGAAGCAGCGTGTGCCACGGTCAAATGCTGACCACGTTTTGGCTACCGTTCATTGCGGCTCGTCTGTGCCTGCACCGAGTACGTCACGTTCGGCACGAAAGCGCAACATTTTCCTTACAAGTTCTCAGTCAGATAATGTCAAACCCGTTGAAGAAGTATGTTGGTATCACCGCCAATACGGTGGAAGAGCTAGACGTTGTCGGGCTCCCTGCATTAGGCACGACCCAGCTGCTTCAGGGAAAACGAATAGCCCGCATACTAGCACTACAAACGTATCATTCAATAACCAAGCAAACCGACTGTTTTACGTTAAGGATCGACGTTCTTCCATCACATTCCTCATCGACACGGGAGCGGAAGTCAGCGTCATCCCAGCGACCGCTAACGACAAGCACTCAGAGCCTACGTACAATTTGCGTGCGGCCAACGGTTCTCCGATAGCTTCATTCGGTCAGCGCATGATGAACCTAGACCTCAATCTTCGCCGAGATTTTCAGTGGGTCTTCATGGTTGCGTCTGTACCCTTCGCAATTATCGGTATCGACTTCTCCGACATTTTGGGTTGCTTGTTGATGCTGGTCGCCACAGACTTTTAGACGACCGTACGAAACTAGGTGTTGATGGTGTCCTTTCAGATGCCCCGATAATCAGCCCTGTATTTCGGATCGCAGACGCACCGTCCGACTACTTGAGCCTCCTCTCCGAACACCCGCGACTGGTTCGACCGGCTGCAGAGCTTCCACCAGTCACGACAGAGGTCGCTCACCACATAGTTACGCGCGGTCAACCAGTTAGCGCACGACCAAGACGGCTTGCTCCAGACAAACTACGGGCAGCACGAGCCGAATTTGACCACATGCTTCAACTTGGTATCGTCAGACCGTCCAACAGCCCATGGGCGTCGCCTCTGCACATGGTCCCGAAGAAGGTCATGGGGGACTGGCGTCCTTGCGGCGACTATCGATCCTTGAATACGGTGACCACGCCTGATCGCTATCCGATCCCACACATAGTGGATCTCACCGCCAGTCTGGCAGGTAAAAGTATCTTCAGCAAAATCGACTTGGTACGTGCATACAACCAAATTCCGGTAGCCGAAGCGGACATCGCTAAAACTGCCGTGACGACTCCATTTGGTTTGTTCGAGTTTCTGCGCATGCCATTTGGCCTAAAGAACGCCGCGCAAACTTTTCAGCGTTTCATCGACCAAGTTTGTCGCGGTTTAGACTTCACTTACGCGTATCTCGATGATATTTTAATCTCAAGCTCTTCACGAGAAGAGCACATGCGCCACGTACGAACACTTTTTGATCGTTTATCTCAACACGGGGTGACGATCAACGCGGAAAAGTGTTCGTTTGGTGTCGATTCAGTTAATTTCCTCGGCCATCGTATCTCCTCTGCAGGCGTCGTGCCACTGCAAGATAAAATTCAAGCCATCAGCGACTACCCCGAGCCTCATTCTTTCAAACAGCTCAGGCGCTTTGATGGGCTTGTCAACTTTTACCGACGATTTATACCCAACTGCGCCTCGCTGATGCAACCCCTCACGGACCTTCTCCGAGGGAAACTCAAGAAATTCGAATTTCCTGCTGCAGCACGAGCTGCTTTTAAGTCACTGAAAGAGGCTATCGCCAACATAGCTTCTATAGCGCATCACGATCCGGCCGCCCCACTGTCCCTCAGTACTGACGCCTCGGACGTGGCAGTCGGCGCTGTTTTGCAGCAACGAGTAGCCGACACGTGGCAACCCTTAGCGTTTTTCTCCAAACGCCTACAACCTACCGAATCTCGCTACAGCACGTTCGGTAGAGAACTACTAGCCGTATATCTAGCGATACGTCACTTTCGACATGTCCTAGAAGGCCGCTCCTTTATCGTCTTCACCGACCACAAACCCCTGACTTACGTGCTCGGCTCGACTACCGACCGATACTCTCCTAGAGAGTCGCGCCACCTTGACTATATCGCTCAGTTTACGACCGATATACGGCATGTCTCAGGTGTGCACAACGCCGTCGCCGATGCACTTTCTCGCATCCAAGCTATCTCCGCTGACGCCGGCACTGCTATCGACTTGGCAGCCATGGCCACAGCGCAACTCAACGACCCTGAGGTTGATCTACTACGCAGGTCTCCCTCATTGGACATACGATCCGTTCCGCTGACATCATCAGACGGCACTATACTCTGCGATCTATCTCTGGGCACGCCGCGGCCAGTCGTCCCACGCGAGTTTCGGCAGACCGTGTTCGACGCGTTGCACGGCTTGTCTCATCCACGCGTTCGTGCATCGGTTAAACTCGTAACCGCACGATTCGTTTGGCGCAATGTTAATCGGGACGTCCGTACCTGGGCAGCTGCTTGCCTTCCGTGTCAACGCGCGAAGGTGCACAAGCACACGAGAAGCCCATTAGGCACGTTTCCGACGCCAGACGCACGTTTTCATCACGTGCACGTCGACCTCGTAGGTCCTCTGCCGCCTTCCAAAGGCTCTGTATATCTACTGACCTGCATCGATCGATTTACTAGATGGCCTGAGGCCGTCCCTATCTCAAATTGCTCCTCAGAAACGGTAGCGAAAGCTTTTATGGAGCGCTGGGTAGCTCAATACGGCTGTCCCGCCATCGTGACCACCGATCGAGGGTCACATTTCTCGTCGACATTTGCCATGTTGCTTAAGGATTTAGGCTGTCGCCACGTCCAGACGACAGCGTATCATCCGGCCGCTAACGGCATGGTGGAGCGTTTTCACCGCCAGTTGAAGGCAGCGCTACGTGCGCACGCAGATCCTTCATGGTCTGAAACGCTTCCCCTCGTTCTCCTAGGCTTAAGAAACACGGTTAAAACCGACTTCGACGCCACACCAGCGCAGCTAGTCTACGGTTGCACGCTGCGGTTGCCCGGACAGCTGGTAGCACCAGCCCCATGTACTTCCACTTTTGACTACGGAAGTTACACTGATCGATTGGCTCACCAGATGCGTGAGCTACGTCCACCCGCTCCTCGATCGCAGAAGATACCAGTGTACGTGCCCGAGAAGCTGTCTACGTGTTCACACGTCCTTCTTCGCGCAGACGGTGTTCGACAGCCTCTTCAGTCGCCGTACATAGGACCCTTCAAGGTGCTGCATCGTGCGAGTAAGGCGTACACTATTGACCGCGGTGGTCGACGCGAAGTCGTCACCATCGACCGTCTAAAACCCGCCTTTATGGAAGTAACTACCTCGCCTACTTCGTCTAGTAGTGCCTCGTGCGACGTCACAACTCACCGTACCAGTTTTCCGCATGCTAATGAAGTCCAACCAGACCACGATCACGGTCTACAAGCTTCAGCTGTCCCGACATCTCCCGAACCTAGTCCGCCGCCTCCCACGACCAATCGCCGTGGTCGGGAGGTACGTAAGCCCGTTCGTTTCTCCGACTATGTACAGTGTAAATACTTTTAACTTTGTAGATATTGTATATATTTGCCCCATTTTTGGTCGATTAACGTTTTGAAAACAAACAAAAATATCAAAAAACCTCCGCAAAACCTTTATCAAAAAATATTCAAAAACCAAAAAATATTTAAACACGCAGATCATTCGTTTGTTCTTTTTGGCGTTTTCTGCGCGTTTTTCTATTTTCTCGTCTTTACATGCCCCAACCCTCCCCTTCGATCGACTGGCCCACACGAGGAATGTTTTCGAGGACCCTGACGCGAACACTGGTCGTTTCTCCGCGGGACGAGTGTCATTTCTCCGCGGGACGAATGTCGCTTCTTCGCGGGACGAGGGTCGCTTCTCCGCGGGACGAGGATCGCTTCTTCGTGGGACCATGGTCGTTTCTTCGTGGGACGAGGGTCGTTTTGGCGCGGGGCGGGGTGCGGCGGGAGGAGAGACCACTCCCAAGCGCACCGTTTGGCAGCAGCGGAGGTTGAGGTCCTGTCGGCCTTTTTTGGGCTAGCCAGTTTTTTGTAGTCCGACAAGCCCGCTCCAACGGCTCGCCGAAATGCACCCTGCCCTGCAATCAATAAATAACAAACCATAAACGGCACAGCGGACTCCGAATTCCGACGAACCCCCATTTACACGAACGCACGCTCATTTTTACTCGGCACGATTTGCCTTACGAACCTCGTTTCAACAGTCCTTTTCGATTTCGAAGGCTTTCTATGTTCAGCCTTCTAGGGGGGAGCTCTGTAGCGCCCAAAAAGATAACTCTTATCTTTCATGTACAATTTACTTGTTGACCGATTGTACATTATTCCTTCTTGTTTTAATCGTCCTTACAATCGGCTCGACACACAACTGCCTTGTAAGTTCCCGCGCTCACGTGTACGCTCTCGCCTCGCTTCATCCGTCCGCTTCTTATTGTAGCCCATCGAATACAGTCCGCTGTGTCCGACTCCCATTGCCTTCTGATATCTGCGCTTAATTTCGCGCACCGTCTCGGACTAGTATTAACTAGTCCTACAATTTCGGTCAGTCCTCATTGGAAATATAGTCATTGCTCCTGACACATCTGCATCGGAGTTAAATCCTTTTGAGGACTAAATTTCGTTAACACTAATGCTTAAATTAAATTGCTCTATCTGTATTGTTGCTGGTGACTACCGTAGAAAGATATAACCTACTTGAAGACACTTGGCTTGGTAGACCTAGTGAATGTGTCGAGCAGACAAGATGCACAGTTGTACGCTGTGTTCCCATATAAACGACAGTTTGGCACACAAAATCGGGTCCCTTTGTGCATCGCAGGCCATTGTATTTTAAAACTGTTTCCAGTCCTATAAATCGGGCTTCATTTTTAGAGTTGACAAGACATCAAGGTTATAAAACGGCGAAATTGCTCCTTGGAAAATATCACGATGTTCCAGACTAGATATTTTTAACTGCTTTTTCGGTCTTCAACAACAAGGACCTGTCGCCTAAATGTGACCATCTTACAGACTACATCAAATATTACTTAAACATGCGGTTTCATATTGAAACCATCTACCTAAGAGCAGATAGATTTTCCTCATCACTAGTAAAGCTACTTCGAAAGATGAAGGAATGGACCTACAATTGCAAGAATTCTGGTCGTGTCAGACGCCCAACCCTGGCAAGTAAAGCAGAGAAAAATCTACTAAGCCAACTATACGTCGAAGCAGTTCTAGGCAACCATAACTGTTACGATCTATGGATGCTTCTGTGACACCCCTGTGGTAAGAGCCTTTGCAGACATAGAGGTGAAGTGGATGTGAATAAACTAATTTCTGCATTTAGTTACACTTCACATAGCTCATCTTCCTTGCCAACCTTCAGTAGCTCAAGTCTAGCCGCGTCCTTCGATTAAAGCAACGTGCACAAGGAACTCAAAATATTAAAGACAACCAAAGCTTGTGGTCCGGATGCTCTCCCACCATTACGTTTAAGGGAGGATGCTGTTTCGCTCACTGCCATATGTATCTGCTCCAACGGCTGGCTGCCTGAGGAGTTTGAGCTGATCACTAAAACGCTTATAGAGAATAGCCACCCGAAGCGATTCATAGACAGATATAGCACGGTTAGACAACCCAAAGAAATGGTGTTAACAGCCCCATAGTAAAAGGTGTACATTGAGCTACCCTT